TTTTATTTGTTTTTGTTTCTAATGTCTCTGTAAAGCACTTTGAATCACCTTGTTGTTGAATTGTGCTATACAAATAAATTTGCCTTGCCTTGCCTAAAGCATATAGTTAGGGCTGGCTCAGCTAGCACTGAATCCTCCCTTAGTTATGCTGCTATAGGTGTAGGCTGCTATGTGTTTATACACCTCACTGCGTTTAATCATTAATTATTATTGGGGCAGCAGTTATAATATAAAAAATTCTCTACACAAATTCTTGGCTTCAGTGCTTTGTTTTACACACAGCTATGTAGCTGTGATAAATGACATTAAGCCCACACAGCATTCAGTTTTAAACAAAAACACTGATAACACAGTAGCAGCAGTGATGATGATGCAGGCACAGTTAGAGGAGGAGTCAGTTCACACACAGAGAAGAGCAAAAAGGCGAAGCCATTAAAGAGATGAAAAGCTCAGGCTGAGTGAAAGAAAACTTGTTTCCAACATCCAAAATAGCAGTGTTGTTCCTGTAATCAAAATCAAAACCTTTATTGAGAAACAGCGAGCGGGAGTGCTTCATCAAAGTACCTGATCAACAAAATCAGATGTGAAGAAAGTGTAATTTTACAGCTGCTCCATCCTCTGCTGTTTTGTTTTACACAGAGAAAAATCATAGTGAGCCTCTGGCAGTTGTACTAAAAGAGGCAGATGAACAGTTAACTTTGTCTGTTAGCAGGTTTAAATTATACAGCTTGGTGTATAAGTTTATGACAGTTGTCCTATTTTGAATGGAGGTGATACCTGTAGCAAACAGGGGTGAGTCTAAAGGGGGGCGTGGGGTGTACTAGACCATATTTATTTCAAGGCTTTTGCAACGTTTTTTTTCAGAAAATAATATAAAATATTGTATTATTTAAATTGCTTTAATATTACACGAACTAAACAATAAAAGCTTTTTTGCACAATCCAATAAAAATTTACATGGGTCATTAAACTGTGAGCTACTGACCTGAGGATGTGAGGTTGGACACTGAATTACTATTAATACTAATTCAGGTCTACCCCATCATTACATCCATAAAATTAAAGGATTTGCTCAGATTTTGTATTTATTTTTTACTGTTTTGTTTGTTATGACATAAAATAATTCCACAGAGGAACAGCACAGTTAGTTGATGGTCAGCAGCTGAACTCAGAGTTGTTACTGTGGATCACGGCCGCTGGAAGAAGAGGTGCTGGGGTTGCTGCAGAGCTCCCAGTCACAAAAGGCAGACATCACAACACCACCTGCTAAAGGCTAAAAATCAAAAATCAAAAATGAAAAAAAAAAAAAACCAAACAAAAATGGATCGTGCTGTTAAAGCACTCTGTGCACTATTCCTGTTGTCATTTCCCTAAGAAATTTGTGACAGAAAACGAATAAATAAGTGAAAATACAGAGTATGACTTTTTCTTTAAATGACCCCATGATGTTATATAGTAGTTATAAGTATTAAAATGGTGTGATTATTAGTTAATACCTGCCAAGAGGTGTAACAGTAATACAAAAACATTTTGTTTATTTATTTCATATATTTATTTATATATTTCAAATAAAGCAAGCAGGCCTAGTGTGGCTGTGTCAGAGACGGGTTTGTTTGTGATCAGGTTTGTTTTATAGCATCAGAGTCACAGCAGGAAGTTGTTGCTGTTGTGGTAATCATTGATAAATTTAAAGACGTATTAAGGTGCAGCAGCTGATCTTTGAACTCTGAGCTGCATCTTAAGACTCTCTTATGGTTTAAAGTGTTCAATGTGGCGGCAGACAGATCACAGAGAAGAAGCAGAGGATTTTCTGTTTTTCTAAACAGACGTGGTCCACACAGTGGAGAACCAAAGAGTGAAGAAGTTCTTTGGAAGGAGCTGAGTAAGTGAAACTTTGATTCATTAGAGTCTCTCAGGTTTTGGCTTCATCACAAAGCAGCTGCTCTATGTTAGTGTGTTTATTGCAGAGAACAGATGAAGACTGTGATACATTGGATAAAGACTCAAAAACATAATGTGACTTGAATAATAAACTTGACAACATCCACAAGTAGATATTTGCTTTACTTTCTTCTCTTCAGACGAACAGTCTGTGTCAGTGTCTTCAGACGGCTGCAGGTTGTTACCAGCTTCATTAAATGTTTTTCATTCTGCATTTTATGTCACATCTGCCACTGTTTGGTCCCCCTTAGCAGAGGAGATCAGACTGTAATGTGACGTTTCGTAAAACTCAGTTTTCTTGTGAACTTTGAACAGGCTCATAATCAAACTATAAAACGAGCTCTGATTTGAGAACCTGGTTTAGATGCTGGACTCCAGTCTGACTGATACTCAAGTTGTTTTATGGAGCATCAAGGTTCATGATAATTTGTTAAATATTCTCCATAATTCATGAATAATATTTAACATCGATCGGTGAGCTCCATCTGCTGGTTCCCTCAAGTGCTGCTCTCAGTCTCCAGTTATGCTGCAGAATGGATTTATGGAGGCTTTGAGGGATTCACTGTAGTTCTGCTGTAGTTGGTCCCTCACAGCTACATAATCAGTTGCAGTGCCACTGATACGAGCTACACCAGTTCTATGGTGCCTACAAACAAGACATAAAATACCAACAGATTGTAAGGGAGACCAGGTAGTGTGAATGATCACATATGTGACATGTGATGTGTGGAGAAGCATAGAGAGAAAATCAGTAATAAATACAAGGTAAAATTAAGTAGCCTGTCTCACTCACTGCTGATAATTTGTGGTAATAGGGGTAATGATAAAACTTGGGACAACCTTTGGGATCAATAAAGTTTAATGAATGATTTTTCTGTTCTGTTAGTGAAAACTTATTTATTATTCTCATCCAAATAAACTTCTGTTTCAATAACCACAAAATCTGCATGTATAGAATCATGAGCAAATTGCATTAAATAAATAAATAATAATAAGTTATAAGTAAATAATAATATATATAAATTTTTCAAAAACGATTTAAAAACTCAGCTCACTGCCACAGTGTGAAGTTTTATTCTCCCCTGGAGGCTCCATTCATACCACCATTATTTTCATAGAAATCTGCCATAGATGTTAATTCAGGATTATTGATTGCTGTGTCTCTCTGATAAAACCACAGTATCATCTGCAGCCCCCATTTTTGTTGTGAAAGTGGAGTTTTAGAACAGAAGTTTGATTAATTGATTATCTGAGGTTTTGTTAACGTGTTTATGTAGAGATTTATTTAATCTTTGATGTCTTGGAAATCAAACCACAAAGTTCCTCCAACAATAAACTTTACAAATAGCAGCTCACAGACTTTCTACAGAGAGTCTACAAGTAGAGATCTGTTCTCCTCACAACAAAATAACTGTCTGAGTGTTTTAATCAGAAGATTGCAGGTTGGTACTAACATCATGAAATGTTTCTGACCATCCACTTTACATCACATCTAGCACTAGGGATGGGTATCGTTTAGGTTTTATCCGATACCAGTACCAAACTGGTACTTTTGAAATGGTGCCGGTGCTTAAACGGTGCTCGAACCGGTGCTTAAAGAATGGAGAACACAAAATTGGTCCAAAAACCTCTCATGTTCAGCTGTTTTTTGTAAAAAGATAACAATGTTAGCCTTTTCTGCAGCTATAGGGGATTTATGGTATCACTCTTGGCTGGAAGCAGTGCTTAAACAATGGAAAAAACACAAACTTTGTCCAAAAACCTCTCATGTTTAACTGTTTTCCACTTTTTCTTTGGTCATTTTAGCCTTTTTGGCCAGGGTGAAGGGAGTATCTGCCATCAAACAAGAAGACAGCCGCATGTAGCTATGATGATGTTTGCTAGTTCACCTTACATGCATTAATGTAATAACGTGGTTAGCCTACTCAACGTAAATTACACACGAACAACATTAAGCTACTCACGCAGAGAAGAACGGCTGCTGCTGCCATCATCATCCGTCATCATTTCTGCTACACTGGCAGGGCTAGGGGCCAGGACTCTACTCTTCGGGTTTTTGGGGGATGTTGCTAACTCCGGGTCCGATAACAGGCAACCCACCCGCAGTAGATGTGCTCGGTGTGAGGTCTCGCAGCAAGCTATCAAATACGGCGCATTTCTCGGCTTTTAACAAAATGCTATACGTCGCCAGGTGTTTCATCAGATTCGAGGAGTTACCTCCTTTGCACAGTATCAGCTTAGATAACAGTAGATACTAAATAATAAACGATATTGTGCAGCACGCAAGATAGACAGCGCACAATGTGCTTTGAGGCAGCAGCCAAGAAAGGTGTAGTCCGCGTCTGTGAACACCCGTGTGTACACCTGTGTGCACCTGTGTGGATCAGCATGCTTGTATTCCAAAGGTTTCTCCATGTAACGATCTGCTAGGGAGTGGGGGAACCGTGCCACCCTCCTGGGAAGAGCTGAGTAGAGCCCCAAACGAGAGGTCACCCCGCAGCTACGGAGCAGAGGCCAGAGGGGGTTGCAGTGGCGTGCCCGCGGGCTCTGCCGGCAGCCAGCTGTGCCAGAGAGGACCGAGCTTCAGGCCCAGAGGCCAGAGGCCTGAGGGCATCCCACCCCCCGGAAGGAGCCCAGCCGGGCCACAGGCGCCCGGCCCCGCCAATCGGCCACCAGGAGTGAGCCGGTACATACATGAGCGCCCAGCCCCAGACGACAAGGACCACCAACACACCAACGTCTGAGGGCATCAGCCACCGGCAGGGAGTGTGGTGAGGGGAGATAGGCCTCCGTACTTTAGAGGGCCTGAGATGTACCCAGAGAGGTTGAGTCTAAGACCCAACCTGACATATAGACACAGACGAACAGGCACACGCGGACACAGACGTGCATTCCCACCCCATATGCACAACCAAATACTCGGCACTCACCCAACGTGTAGACAGACACAAATAGACACTGCACAGACAGTCGCACTCCCCAAACATACTCTATATCCCAGGTCCAGGTACCCCCGCCCTCAGAGGGGCAAGCCGCACCTAGACCCAGGAGATGTAACCCTTCTCTCTGGGGTGGAGGCAAGCGGACCACCTCCTTATCTGCAGTAGCAGGGAGGCCCCGCATCCCAGACCCCAGTCTGACGGCCAGCACCTCCTCCCAGCCCCCCAGCCCTGACGGCTAACAGAACCGGGGTGAGTGAAGACCTCAAACCTCCCTACGCCCGCTCATATGTAGTGTTGCTGTGTGCTGTTCTAAAGTGCATTTAAAACTCAGGAGAGCATGGTACTAGCTTCCTCTCAGAGAGCAGCACGGCTCTTCCCGAAAACCCTTAGTGTCTAAATGCATTTAAAATTGAGGGTAGGGCACCAGCGCCAGAGGTGGGTTGGAGTACACCGACCATCCTCTGGATGCTGTAAAACGTGCCCACCCCCAAGGCCCTATATGTATGTGTTATGTGAGAGTGTGAGTAATGTGGATGTCTAGGTTGCAGAATAAAATTGAGGCACAGGCGGCCAGAAGGGGACAGAGGGGGAGTGCCTCCCCTGCACCCTGGTGACATACCTGCACCCCAAGCCCTGCGTGTGTGGGTGGGTGTGGTAGAGCGGGAATAGGGAGGCAGCTGAGGATGGGGAGGGAAGAAAGGGAGGGGCAAGCGGCCCCTCCCTGGGGCCAGCTCCCCCGCTGACCCCAGTAGGCACCCCCACACTCTGGAACCCACCAGGGCAAGGGGGCCCAGGCCCATCCGGACCGGGGCCCGCAGCAGCAGCACCGCCCAGCCCCACAGAGTCCGGGGCAGCCCACCCGACTCCACCCCAGAGAAAACTGCACCCACCCCATCATCCAATCATCTCCCAAACTACACAAGACAATAGACACCCAGGTTGAGTTCATTCTCCACCTCTCCTATATCTCTCCCCCCACCTGCAGAGTGAGCTCCTGTAGTGAGGAGACCACCTGCAAAGATATAACAACCTCCCCACCAGTTAGAGAGCCCCCTAGTTGGGCCGATGCACCAGAGGTCCCCTGCACTGGGGCTGAGCCCCCCTGCACCCACCCGCCCACTGCTCCGGCGACACAACAGCCAGGACCCAAGCCCCCAAGGCCCGGCCAGCACCCCAGACCGGGGGGCGGAGCACCCCCAGACCCCCAAGCCTCCACGCCCGTCCCGGACCCTCCCAGGGGCAGCCAGGCTACCAGGCCAGTAACCAACGTCCGCCAGCACAGACCCTCCCCCATCTCCGCTGTACGCAGCCACAAGGAAAACACCATCCAAGAGCCCCAGAGCTCCTAACCAGGTCATGGCCACATCCCCCAGGTTAGGCCCTCTAGGGAAACGTCCCTAGGGACTCCCCAGACGCCCTAAGGCCGTCCCTACCCCCATATCAACCACAATAGCGAAGGCAGGACCAAACCATGACCCCCCACCCCCACTAGGTGATGAAGCCGATCAAAGGAGCCCAAAGGGATTGATCAAATGTGATGGCAGATGTTGTATCAAGACTAATGTGATCTATTAGATGGTTTCTATATTGGTTAGAATTAAGATTATTTTTATTTTTCCAGTTAATGAGGACCATTTTCTTGGCAATGCATAGGGCCGTAAAAACAACGTGGGCTGTGTTTATTTCTGCAGTGACCTCATCCAAGTTGCCCAGCAAGCATACTAAAGGGGAGGCTGGAATGTTACATTTCAGACACTTTGATAAGTCTTCACATATCTCACGCCAAAATTTCTGAACTGGTGGACAGAACCAAAGAGCGTGGATGTAATTGTCCGGTGTATTTGCTGTGCAGTGTGAGCAGTTGTTGGAAGGCGTATAGCCCATCTTGAACATCCTATGACCAGTATAGTGCACTCTGTGTAATATTTTGTATTGTATTAATTGCAAACTGGGATTTCTGATCCATTGAAAGGTTTTTAAGCATATCTGAGACCAAAGGTTTGGGTCTAAGTTGATTGATAAATCTGCTTCCCATTTTGCAATAGGAAGGGATATTGATTCATCTATTTTAGAAAGTGTTCTGTATATTTTAGACAATAATTTGGGGGGTTTTAGACTAAAAAATTGTACCACACTTGGTGGTGTTTGTAATTCAGCTTCACTGGGATTAAATTTCTTTTTTACTATGGATTTAATTTGTTGATATTCCAAAAATCGTTTCTTGTTGATCCCATATTGTGTAACTAGTCTGTCAAACGAAATAAAGTCTGTTCCTTCCAACATATGTTCCAAGTATTTAATTCCTTTGCAACTCCAATCTGGAAAGTTTATCATATTATTGTTTTGTAATATGTCCGGATTGTTCCAGATAGGTGTACGTTTGCATGGGATTAATGAAGACTCTGTCATTTTTAGAAACTCCCACCATGCTGTCAGAGAAGAGCTAATATTGATGCTTTTAAAGCATTCATGTCGTTTGATGTTTGAGCTGATAAATGGTAGGTCTGAAATTTCTAGGTTATTACATAGTGCCTGTTCTACATCTATCCAAGGTTCATCTAAGAGGGTGTGTTTAAACCATCTAGAGATGAACTGAAGCCTGTTGGCTAAAAAATAGTGATTAAAGTTAGGCAGATCTAATCCTCCTTTATCCTTGGTCCTTTGTAGTGTTTTTAAGCTGATACGTGGGGGTTTATCTTTCCAAAGGAATTTAGAAATATACGAGTCTAGAGATCTGAACCAATCTTGTGATGGCTTATTTGGGATCATTGAAAATAAATAGTTTATTTTTGGCAAGACCATCATTTTTATAGCGGCGACCCTTCCCATGAGTGATATGGGTAAAGATTTCCATCTAGCCAGGTCGCCTTCTACTGTCTTTAAAAGTGGGATGTGGTTTAATTTAGTTAATTCTGAAAGTTTAGGAGAGACATTAATACCTAAATATTTTATATTTCCACATTGCAGTGGGGAAGGAGAAGAATTATGGAAGGAGCAATTAATCGGAAGAACTGTTGATTTCGACCAGTTAATTGAATAATCTGAGACACTTGAGAAAGAATTTATCAATGCAATTACCCCAGAGATATTGGTTTGTGAGTTTTGGAGAAAAAGTAACACATCATCTGCATAAAGGCTGATTTTATGTTCTATATTCTTACATTTTATGCCCTTAATTGTTGTAGCCTGTCTAATTGCTGCTGCTAGTGGCTCAATAAAAATTGCAAACAGTGAAGGGGAGAGTGGGCATCCCTGTCTGGTGCCCCTCAGAAGAGAGAAGCTGGAGGATGTTTGGTCATTTGTTCTGACACAAGCTGTTGGGGAGTTATATAATATTTTTAACCAGTTTATGAAAGAGGGTCCAAAACCAAATTTATGTAAAGTTGCAAATAGAAATTTCCAGTTAACTCTGTCAAATGCTTTTTCTGCATCTAAAGAAAATATTATGGTTTCAATGTTTTTACTGCATGAGTAGTCTATTAAATTAAGTAATCTACGTGTATTTGTTGATGAGTGCCTACCTTTTATGAAACCAGTTTGGTCAGGATGAATTAAAAGGGGGGTTATTTTCTCTAATCTCTTTGAGAGAGCTTTGCAGATTATTTTAAGGTCTACATTAATAAGGGATATTGGACGATAGCTTGAAGGAAATACAGGGTCTTTGCCTGGTTTTAGTAAGAGACTGATATTTGCAGAGTTCATATTTGGTGGTAGTCTACCATTTTCTTTGATTTCCTGCAACATCCTGTGAAAAACTGGTGCCAGAATTGTCCAGAATTCTTTGTAAAAATCTGTTGGAAAACCGTCTGGACCTGGAGCCTTATTATTGAGCATACTTATCAGAGCTTCCTGGAGTTCATTAGTTGATCCTCTTTAAAAGAGCAGTTTGACTGTGATGAGATGTTTACTTGGACTCTGAACAGGCTCATAGGCAAACTATAAAACTGGAGATGTGATATGAGACACTGGTTCAGGTGGTGGATTGCAGTTTGATTTTGATGTGCATGTTGTTTTATGGAGGATCATAGTCCATTATTATTTCCAGTTTGTGAAACATTTATCATCATCTTTCCTTCATGAAATATGTTTCAGCATTTTTCAAATTTTTTAAATGTCCAAACTCCTTGAAATAAATAGTGTCAGTCAATTAATTTGATCCACCAGAACACCCATTCCATGTTCTGTTGTCACGTTCTGTGTGTCTATTATAGACTGTAAATCACTACAGACTATATAGAATTCATATAGACTGTATATTATAACATAGTAGACTGTTATCATGTTTTGTTCAGGATGTCAGAGTCAGAGCATGAGGTTATTACAGATTAATCATTTATGAGATGAAAGCATCATATTAAGGTGGAACAGCTGACTTTTGACCTGTGAGCTGGAGCTTAAGACTCTTTCATGGTTTCAAATGTTTAATATGACGACAGCCCTCACACATAGAGGACTGATGACAGAGATGATTCAGAGGAATTTCTTTTTTTCTGTCCAGAGAGCTGCAGAGTGAAGTTCACGGGAAACAGCTGAGTGAGTAGAAATCTGACTCATTAGAGTTTTTAAGAGTTCCTTTTCATCACAAAGCAAAGTTTCATTTATGTGGAGAACAGATGAAGATTCATTTGGATAAAGACTCAAAACCAAAAAGCTGATCCAGTATAACTCTATATTACATCTCAGTAATAATACTATATAAAAAAAAATAGTGGGGTAATAAGGTGAACACAAAAATGTAATCAAATGTACACATCAACACACACTGACCATTCGGCAGTCCAGCTTATTTGCTTTTTATTAATAATATAATTTCTCTGAAAACAAATTAGTTTAACATCGCTTTAACATATGGGGCTGGTCTTGTACAGTTACATGAACTTTGGTGTCATTTAAAAAGTGCCTGTTCCCTATTATCACTTTATCTTTTCCATTTTATTACCCCACTGTAGTTACTCCTTCACAACCACAGTTACATTGTTCATTCCCAGTTTTGTCGTCTGGGCAGCAACATTAATTCCTGGAGCAGTTTTTTCCCCTCGTGAAATATTGTGGAGGTCAGCTGTGTGGCAGGCAGGAGTTGGACCCAAAAATAAGAAATATATTTAAAAGCAGCTTTATTGCTTCACTTTTACCAAAGCACAACATAATATCAGATCAGAAACCAAAACTAACTGGGAGACACAGCTATGAGGTAGAACATGGAAAGGACGAGGGAACAAACTGAAGAGAGAGCAGCTGAAACTAACTACAGGTGGTGAGAGAGGGGAAGTAGAGCTAAATACAAAGCACAAAAACTGTAGACCACCAAAATAAAACACGACAAAACAAAATAAAAACGCAGAGTTGATACAACAGGAAGGTAAACAAACACAGAACTGACTTGACAAGAGGGTACAGGGAACAAAGGGGAGGTATGATATCAGGAACAAGAGACATAAAAAGCAAACTAAACCAACTTTGGGGAAAAAACTAAGAAGACTTGAGAATAGAAATACTAAACAAAGTTGAAATTAAACAGGATATTTGGAGTAGAAGACTAGACACAAAAGAATTGAAAGTATAATTCAAATCAAATCCTGGAACACCTCACGTCTCAAACTCAGAATATTAAATAAGAATTAAAAAGTCCAAACATAGAAAACACATTTGTCAAAAACCCAGAATAATGACAAATATATTTTATCTTCTATTTTAAAATGGAAGCCATCAGCAGCAAATATTGAAATAAAAGCATTAAAACTATTTAAAACCCAGTGTTGGAGTTCTGATACTGACACTATTAAGCTGTCAGTATTAAGTACAGTGGAACCCCGACTTAAGAAATTAATTCGTTCCCGAGGGTCTTTCGTAATTCGAAAAATTTTGTAAGTCGAAGCACCCATCGCGCCTTTTGAGTGAACGATAGTCTATAGGCTATTTGCTAACTGCAACAACAATACGTAGTTCAAGTGGAACAGCGAAGCCAAGTACAAAAGCCAAGGGGGTTGTCGCATGATTCGGAAGGCATTGTGGGCTCAGCCAATCAGAGCCAGCAGATTTCGTTACGCGGGCATTTTGCCGTAACATGGGCAGAAATATTGCCGTAACTTGAATTTTTCATTAAATGGGGTATTCGTAAGTCGGGGTTCCACTGTATAAAGTCAAAGTTCCATACTTTTTCATCTACTGTTAACTTAAATATTTCAGTCTGACACTGACTGACAGTCAGACACGAGTGTTAGGATATATGTTGTCAAATTGGGGTGGCTGTGGCTCAGGAGGTACAGCAGCTCATCGAAAAATTGGAAGGGTGGTGGTTTGATTCTTGGCTGCTCCAGTCTGCATGCCAAGGTGTCCTTGGGGAAGATACATATGTGTTTTCATGGAAAGTTGTCATTGATGTGTTCTGTTCATTAAAAAAGCCAAGAACAGTTCAAAGCTTATTAACCAAATCCAAAGACTGTCTACATCATTCCTGCAGCTTGTCATCCATCTTAAATTGTCTTGGGTGTTTATTGTTGATTAATTTTATTAAAAAATGATTTAAATAAACTTTAATTTAAATGCATAAGACCCAGTTTCATGGTCTGACTGCATTCAGCTGACACTGAGCTGAAGCAGAAAAGAAGCAGCTGATGGAAATGAGGATTTCAGTTGATGTGCACATGAATGATTTGTGTTTCCTCTGCAGGTGAAGGTAGAAAGTGTGTGTGAGCTGATGTGGATGTGAATTCAGCAACATGGATCAGTGTGAGGACAGAAAGGAGGGAGTCCCTCCCTCTAAAACCACTCTGTGTGGGGAACATGAGAGCCAGACCAAAGCTCAGAGGTGAGATGACCATCTCTAACTGTCCAGGACTCTAATCCATGTCACAGCTCAGCACTCACATCACTGCTTCATCATTATTCACAGGAAAAGACGTAAACGTAAACGTGGGAAAAAACATAAAAATGGACAAGGACCTGAACCCAGCTGTGTTTCCTTACAAAGTGATGTGTCAAAGGAATTTAATCCTGATTTTAAAGAAAATCCTTCTTCTACAGAAAGGTAATCTGTCTCGAAATGTTGCAACTCAGTTATTCTAAACAAATTTTCCAACATATTTGATGTCAGCTCATCTTCTTTTCACACACAGTTCTATGTTCGTATGTGAAGCTGTGTGGGTTTGTGGTTGTTTTTTTTTAATTTGAAAAATGAATTTTTCTAGGATGTTGCTGTAGTGAAGATGCTAAGTGTCATTTCGACAAACAGTATTAACACATCTGACCTAAAATCCCACAAAAAAAAAAAATGCACAAACGTGCAGCCAATGCCTCAAGTGCTTTTTGTACAACTATTTAAAATTACAAAATAATCTGATGTCATGTTTTTTGTTTGTTTTTGTTTGTTGTTTTTTTTTGGGGGGGGGGGGGGGCTGGCAAGCACTTTCAACTTGTGAGCAGTTTTCTTCAAAAAACATGTTTTTACTGTTTCTTCCTGCACTAGCAAACACTGCAGTATTCAGGGAAATTTAGTATAAGTCTGGTTTTACTTGGCCTATTAACACAGGTTTAAAAATGTAGTAGACTCCTGAAGGTTGAACTGAAGCTCAGCACTCCCATCACTGCTCCATGATTATTCACAGAAAGAAATCTAGAAGAAGACAAAAACGTAAACAGAAAATTAAACCTGAACTCAGCAGTGTATCAATAAAGCAGCAGGTTTGTGAAATGTAATGGATAATGTGTCTCTAAACAAGACTATGTTCATCTCAGTTAAAATGATTCTGTGTTTGATATATAGAAAATGTACTTATAATGTAATCACGTTTTTGTTTCGCTTTTTCCATCAGGAGCTTTGAAAGATTAGACTGTCCTGTACCTAGCTGTGTATCCTTGAGCAGTGAAAAGTCAAAGGAGTTATATGGTGTTAATTTCAACACAGAGCAACAGTCTGCCTCAGAGAGGTAATGTGTACCTAAAATTTGGAACTGAGTTGGAACAGTTTTTTTCTGTTATGTGAACTAATTTTTCCATGATTCCTCCACAGAGTGGACCAGGAGAGTTTAGAAGTTCTCAGTGATCAGTCTTCCCAGCAGCAAGAAAGGAATCTGGACTCAATATTTATGGTTTGTACATGTACAAGAAGTACTTTTATATCTGTTCTGTTCACAGACATCGCCATTCTGCAGTTGGAAGAGCAGTATATCATGCTGGTTAACATTTTTTCAAAGGATAAAATAGAGTAATTTTCATATTTTGTATTCAGCACATTTCATTTAATTAAAAAAATATTAAAAAGTAGTATGTTTACCACAATTATTTGATTGATTGTTTTATTTTACTTTGTGCCATTTACTGGCTGATGGAAAGTTTGCACTGTCCACTTTTTTTTTTTTTTTGTTATTTTGACGACTCCCAACTGAATGCACTATGCAGAAGTAATGACTGCTATTATAATCTGGAGGCTCCTAGTTTTCTTGTTAATTGGAAGGTCAGGTCCAGGGTCAAAGTACAGGCTTTTAATTTGATCGCATTTCATGCTTGTTACAACTCCATATGACACAAACACAAATTAATCAAAATTAGAACTGATTACAATGAGCAAACATCCGAAAATTAGCACGTACATCCACTGGCACAATTTTTGACAAAGTAAAATGTAGGGAAAAAAGTTAGTTGGGTAAAAATAAAAGTGCTTTTTTTTTTTTTTTTTTGTTATTTCTGGTTTTTGTTTTCAACATGACCGAGTAGCAAATCAGCAACTCTACAGCAAGGCAAAAAAAACATGGACAAAGCACTTTTTTAAAATTCTCTTCCAGCTCCTAGAGGACAACATTTTCAGCTTTGTGAAGAATGAGATCAAGAAAACCAAGAAGATTCTCAGCCCAGATTACTCAGATGGCTTAGAGAGTCAGGGGGAGGATGAGGTGGTTTTGGAAAGTGAGGATGAAGAAGAGCAGAAGAGGAGCATGAGAGATGCAGTTGTGAAGATCATTCTGCACTTCCTGAGGAAAATGAAGCAGGGAGAACTGGCAGACCGTCTGCAGAACAGTAAGAGGATTTCTCTAAAGATTTAAAACAGTGGTTAAATGATATGAAATTTATAGATTTACATTTCCTTAATTCTCAGCCTGAAAGGTTTTGTGAAGTTCATGATCCTGAAGAATATATTTTTTGTGTGTTCTTTGAGAATTTCCCACCCTGTGCCCACATAAACTTAAATCTACACTGAAGAAGAAGCTCTGCACTGTTTTTGAGGGAATTCCTAAAGCAGGAAACCCAACCCCTCTGAATCAGATCTACACAGAGCTCCATATCACAGAGGGAGGGACAGCAGATGTCAATAATGAACATGAGGTCAGACAAATAGCAACCAGGAAACCAGACAGACCAGAAAAAATAATCAGACAAGAAGACCTCTTTAAAATCTCACCTGGAAGAAATAAACCAATCAGAACAGTGCTGACAGAGGGAGTGGCTGGCATTGGGAAAACACTGTTGACACAGAAGTTCACTCTAGACTGGGCTGAAGACAAAGCCAACCAAGACATTCAGTTCATATTTCCATTCAGTTTCAGAGAGCTGAATGTGCTGAAAGAGAAAAGGTTCAGCTTGGTAGAACTCGTTCATCACTTCTTTACTGAAACCAAAGAAGCAGGAATCTGCAGCTTTGAAGATGTCCGGGTTGTTTTCATCTTTGATGGTCTGGATGAGTGTCGACTTCCTCTGGACTTCCACAACACTGAGATCATAACTGACCCTACACTATCCACCTCAGTGGATATGATACTGACAAACCTCATCAAGGGCAACCTGCTCCCATCTGCTCACCTCTGGATAACCACACGACCTGCAGCAGCAAATCAGATCCCTCCTAGCTGTGTTGACATGGTGACAGAGGTGATAGGATTCACTGATCAACAGAAGGAGGAGTATTTCATGAACAGATTTAGAGATATGAAGTTGACTAGCAAAATAATCTCCCATATCAAGACATCACGAAGCCTCCACATCATGTGCTACATTCCAGTCTTCTGCTGGATCACTGCTACAGTTCTGGAGGATGTGCTGAAAACCAGAGAGAGAGGACAGCTGCCCAAGACCCTGACTGAGATGTACATCCACTTTCTGGTGGTTCAGGTCAAAGTAAAGAAGGTCAAGTATGATCGAGGAGCTGAGACAGATCCACACTGGAGTCCAGAGAGCAGGAAGATGATTGAGTCTCTGGGCAAACTGGCTTTTGACCAACTGCAGAAAGGAAACCTGATTTTCTATGAATCAGACCTGACAGAGAGCAACATTGATATAAAAGCTGCCTCAGTGTACTCAGGAGTGTTCACAGAGATCTTTAAAGAGGAGAGAGGACTGTACCAGGACAAAGTGTACTGCTTTGTTCATCTAAGTGTTCAGGAGTTTCTGGCTGCTCTTCATGTCCATCTGACCTTCGTCAACTCCGGAGTCAATCTGCTCAAAGAACAAGAAACAGCTTATCAGAACTCTGAAACAAGAAAATCTGCAGAGACTCATTTGTACAAGAGTGCTGTGGATAAGGCGTTGCAGACTTTAAATGGACACCTAGACCTCTTTCTTCGTTTCCTCTTGGGTTTTTCACTACAGACAAATCAGAATCTCCTACGAGGCCTACTTACACAGACAGGGAGTTGCTCACAGACCAATCAGGAAACAGTCCAGCATATCAAGAAGAAGCTCAGTAAGAATTTGTCTGCAGAGAAAAGCATCAATCTGTTCCACTGTTTAAATGAACTGAATGATCATTCTCTAGTTGAGGAGATCCAACAGTCCCTGAGATCAGGAAGTCTCTCCACTGATAAACTGTCTCCTGCTCAGTGGTCAGCTCTTGTCTTCATCTTACTGTCATCAGAAAAAGATCTGGATGTGTTTGACCTGAAGAAATACTCTGCTTCAGAGGAAGCTCTTTTGAAGCTGCTGCCAGTAGTTAAAGCTTCCAGTAAAGCTCTGTAAGTTATAATAAGTTTTATTCTTGAAAAATTCTGCTATCGCTTTAACAGAGAATAAAAATATCATACTTTGCTATTGTCCCATCAGATTGAGCAGCTGTAACCTCTCAGAGAGAAGCTGTGAAGCTCTCTCCTCGGTTTGCAGTTTCCAGTCTTCTAATCTGAGAGAGCTGGACCTGAGTAACAATGATTTGAAAGACTTGGGAGTGAAAATATTGTCTTCCGGACTGGGAAGTCTACATTTGACACTGGAAACGCTCAGGTCAGATTTCTACAAATCATTTAAAATCTGGTTTGTATTTGTAACCATGTTACACTGTAAACTGTAATTAGTTGACCTTACCAAATATATATATTCAAACCTTAAAAAAAGGAAAGCAAAGAAAACCCCAAACCCTGCAAACAAACAAGTGGAAATTTAGTAGGTTTTAGTAAGAATGGATTTTATTGTGTAGTTCACTCACACCTAAGTTTAAATTGTACATATTTATGTCATATGCACACTTAAATTAGTAAAGACTACTCAGAAGTATTATTATTATTAATAATAATAATAAAAATAATTATTAATAATACAACTAATGTTAAAGTTCTTGCAACATATGATTTTTTAGTTGCTTTCATTTGAACAAGAGTCTCATTTATGCATTCAAATCATACAAACTGATTACCTCATTAAAGCAAGTGTTACTCATGTTATTCAAATGCTTCTGGACTCCACAGATAAATGAAAAACAGATTCCATTCTCCTACAATAGTTACATATATAGTTACATTAAAAAAACAGAGGACAAAATACAGTTCAAAGTACAGTTGTATTCACATTTTCCATTCCTCATTTCTAAAAAAGTCACACTATTCATCTGAAAATAAAATTAGCATCAGTGGAGGTTTTAGTAAAAAATATTCAGGAGGCCCAAATTTCAGAAAACAGGTTTATTCTGCACAAGTTGCCATTGCTTACATATTAGAAGTGACAAAGCATTTTTTATGATTGTAAATTACACTCAACAAAAATATAAACGCAACACCTTTGTTACTGCTCCCATTCCCCATGGGATGGACGTAGAGACCTAAAATTCATTCCAGATACACAATATAACCATCCCTCCCAAACAGTGGTCACAAATCAGTCCAAATGTGTGGTAGTGGGCACATCTGCTATATTGAGATAATCCATCCCACCTCACAGGTGTGCCACATCAGGATGCTGATCTGACATCATGAGTAGTGCACAGGTGTACCTCAGACTGCCCACAACAAAAGGCCACCCTGGAATGTGCAGTTTTGTCTCACAGCAAAATGCCACAGATGCCACAAGCAATGAGGGAGCGTGCAATTGGCATGCTGACAGCAGGAATGTCAACCAGATCTGTCGCCCGTGCATTGAATGTTCATTTCTCAACCATAAGCCGTCTCCACAGGCGTTTCAGAGAATATGGCAGCACATCCAACCGGCCTCACAACCGCAGACCTCGTGTAACCACACCAGCCCAGGACCTCCACATCCAGCAGGTTCACCTCCAAGATCGTCTGAGACCAGCCACCCAGACAGCTGCTGGAACAATTGGTTTGCACAACCAAACAATTTCTGCACAAACTGTCAGAAACCGTCTCAGGGACGCTCAACTGCATGCCCGTCGTCCTCATCGGGGTCTTGACCTGACTCCAGCTCGTCGCCGTAACAGACTTGTGTGGGCAAATGCTCACATTCGATGGCGTCTGGCACGTTGGAGAGGTGTGCGCTTCACGGATGAATCATGGTTCACATTGTTCAGGGCAGATGGCAGCTGAGAATGTCCCAGTTCTTGCATGGCCAGCATACTCACCGGACATGTCACCCATTGAGCATGTTCGGGATGTGCTTGACCGGCGTATACGACAGCGTGTACCAGTTCCCACGAATATCCAACAACCTCGCACAGCCATTGAAGTGGAGTGGACCAACATTCCACAGGCCACAATTGACAATCTGATAGACTCCATGCGACGATGTGTTGCACTGCATGAGGCAAATGGTGGTCACACCAGATACTGACCGGTTCTGGGTCCCCAGACCCCCAATAGCGCAAAAAACTGCACATTCCAGGGTGGCCTTTTGTTGTGGGCAGTCTGAGGTACACCTGTGCACTACTCATGATGTCAGATCAGCATCCTGATGTGGCACACCTGTGAGGTGGGATGGATTATCTCAATATAGCAGATGTGCCCACTACCACACATTTGGACTGATTTGTGACCACTGTTTGGGAGGGATGGTTATATTGTGTATCTGGAATGAATTTTAGGTCTCTACGTCCATCCCATGGGGAATGGGAGCAAAAACAAAAGTGTTGCGTTTATATTTTTGTTCAGTGTAGAACCATATCTGCAGATATATATTTAGTTACATTCAGACTCTAAAAACTTTGAGTTCTCAAACTTTGCAGATTTAGTAGAAGTCTCTTAGTTTCTGTTCCAAGCCATGCATCAGCCTTTGAATGAATTTAAATGCATTTCATTGCTTTAGGCTACACCATGTGTAAATCATTAACAGTTGAAATAAGAGGTAAAGTAATTGATGAAGTTTCTGAAGGCAGTCCATTAAAATACCTCTTTCAGAAATGACATTAGTAGACTCTGAATCAAGACGGAGGGGATTTGGAAGGAGAACAATAGTTTCCTCATTGACAGTGCCCCCAACAAACCCCATTAGTGCCAGAAGCCTGTTTGGAAGTAAGCAAAAGCAACAGATGATCAGTTATTAGCAACTTCACAGAAACCATATTAATACTATCCATCCTCTTCCATTAATTTGAGAGGTGGGGTACACCCTGAACAGGTAATCAGTCTGACAGACAACCATTCACAGTCACAGCTATGGGCGTTTTAGAATCACAAGTTATCCTAATCTCACTGCGGGAATACCTGAAGAGAAAATGCAAACTCCCAGGCCAGATGGTGGAGTGAAACTCAGGATACTCTTACTGTGAGGCAAAAGTGCTAACCACCACACCACTGTGCTTCCCTGTTTATACATTTTTTTTTTAAATCACCTTGAAATTCTTCTTTTTTTTCAAAAGGGGTGTTTAAAAATAATTAAAGACTAAGGTAAATGTTATGATTTCATACTGTTGACCTTTTCCCTTTTTATCCAGTAACTGAGATAGACTAAAACATCCATTGCTCAAGATGAATGGAGTCAGCTGTGATATGGCGCTTGCTCATTGGGAAAGATCCTCCCCAGCATTTCTCTCTGATTAGAAGTTAGTCTGCAGCCACTGTGCACCTTGTCCTAAACTCGCATATATACAATTAGCATTAATCTCTATTAAACTCTAAATAAGCCACATGCAAATCCAAAACAAATTCGCCAGAACTCCATGTGATCAATAAGATCTCACTTTAATTAAAACATGTTCTAGTTGTCCAAGGAAAACTGGTGACAATTCTGGTCTGTCCCCTACTTTATACTTTATTAATCAGCCTCACCCCCCTTTTTTTAAATTTATTTTTTATTTTTATTTTTTATTTTGGAGACAACTTAATCTTTGCATTAATTGTACCATTTTTCTCTAAGAGCATGCATCTGTTATGTATGATCTCTACAGGCTGTCTGGCTGTCTGATTACACAAGTAGGTTGTACTTCTCTGGCCTCAAGTCTGAGCTCTAGCTGCTCCTATCTGAAAGAGCTGGACCTGAGCTACAATCATCCAGGAAGGGCAGTCAAGCTGCTGCAGAATCTGGAACTGAAAACTCTCAGGTATGGAGAGACTTGTGCAGCCATGGAGTATGAAGGGGTATTAGGGCTAGATCAAGTAAACAAATGGTATTGATCATTCTGACAATAAAGTCGATATTTCAAGATTAAAATCAACACACTATTTTGAGAAAAAAGTCAAAATCTAGACATTACAGTTGTTCTTTCAAGACAAACTGCCACGTTTGCTATACCCTCTGCAAAACTCCTTGTGCAAGTGGAAAAAGTAAGTTAATTAAATAAATGTATCAGCCTGATCTTCTGATACAACATGCACCCTCTTTATTGCACGAGGGTGTAACTATTGGTATCCTTGCATGTCTCTATTGCCAACCATTTCATTTTGTTCAAATCTGACCAACTCTTCCAAGTTTTAGTGGGGGTTTTTTCTTCTGAGACTCAGCTTTCTGCACCATCCTTTTAGTGTACTTGTACTTATTACCACACTGTGTTTATGTGCTAAAATAGAAATAATTTCCTTATAACTACAACCGATTCTGAAGTACAATGTCACTTGCTGGTTGAGAAACTGGTTGTAAAATCTAACCTGGTTGTGAGTGTAGGGGAAATGTGGGGAAGGGTGTCAGGACTTTCACTGGAGGCTAAGGTACAAAGTGGAAAAAGAGGGAACAAGTTGCGTAGGGGGTGTGAGCATTAACTGCAGTGTCTAATCCGTTGAAGAACAAATTAGACTCAATGACTTTGTCCTCCAACGCTGTTGGATGGCCTCAATCTAGTGATTCATGCCACACCATACCTCTCTCATGCTGTTCTGCTCGGCCTGACTCCAGGCCTGATGGAGGAATTGAACTCAGGAACTTCTCGCTGTGAGGCAACAATGCTAACCACTGGGACAATGGAGTCAATGCAGAAGGTTATGTAGTCAGTGATACACTCAGTAAGCCCATTGGTGTCCTCACCATGAGGTTCACAGAGTGTCTCCCACTCTGTCACCTCAAAACAGCCACTAAGGCCTCCTTTGACCACCTCCTAATACTCCTAATGGTCACAGGCTTCCTCTTCACAATAGGCACATAGCAGAGGCTGAGCTAACTCAGGTTCAGGACCCAGTGGGGGGAACAGAGAAAGATAGTTGAAGTCACCGAAAGATATAAAGGCACTTGGGTGCTGAGTCTGAGGACTATGGCAGAGCGAATAATGTCACATGCAGCTGTGGGGTTAGCAGAGGGAGGAACATAGACAGCCACCAAGACAACAAGAGTAAATTCACTGGGCAAAGAACAATGTGTGTCAATCCCAAAAGGTTAATTCTGTTGGAGCTGAGACAGAAGAAGCCACTTGGATGGGTGTCAAAACGTTTCTCCCACTGAAAACGCTACGTCCAAATGAACAGAATCAACCCTTTGGGAGATGCTTTCCTGGATGATTGAGCATTCACCAAGACAATGAGTGTGAATGTTAGAAACATTAAATAGAAAGAGTGTCATGGGAGGGAGGCAGGAATGGTGGACCCAAAGTGCAGACTCCAGGATGTGAAAAAGTGCACTCAAACAGTTTTATTGCTGGACATCAAAATAACTAACCTGAACTTAAAAATAAACTATGCAGGCTGGCTGACAGACAAAACACACAGTGCAGAATGAGGAACAACACAATGATGAGCAGGTTAAGACGTAGACACTAAATACAAGAGGTGAATAGGACCAAGAGGAAACAGCTGGGAGACACGGCTGACACCGATTACATAGATGAGCTGGAGGAGCACGTAAAACTGAAAACACTGACATAAGACACAGACCTTCAAAGTAAAACAGGAAACTCAACACACATGCAGAGACACAGACTCAGAACTGACCAAACAGGAACAGAGGGAGTACAGAACCAAAACCTATCTAGAAAATCTTTAACAGAAGACTTAAACAGAATAAACAAGAACATAAGATAATATTAACAAAAACACTGAGTCATCAGACTCAGGACCATGACAAAGAGCATGTTCACAAGTGTAAGGACAGGGGTGCAGAAGAATAACAAAAGGATTGGTGCTGCGGCTGCAGTGATCTGGACTCTGTACCGGTCCATCATGGTGAAGAGAGGGCTGAGCATTAAAGCAAAGCTCTGGATTTACCGGTCAGTCTATGTCCCTACCCTCAAATACCATCACGAGCTGTGGGTAGTGACCCAAAGAATGAGATCACAGATACGGGCAGTGGAAATAAGCTTTCTTTGAAGGGTGGCTTGCCTCTCCCTTAGAGATAGAGTGAGGACTTTTGCTATTCGGGAGGGACTCAGAGTAGAGCCATTAAGCCTCCTCATTGAAAGGAGCTCATTGAGGTGGTTAGGGCATCTGACAAGGATTCCTCCTGGGTGAGGTGTTCTGGCCATGTCACACCAGTAGGAGAAAAATGTGGACTGTTGCTGTAGGAGTTCCCTCTCTAGAGTGAAACATTTTGGTAGGAGACCTTTTGAATTAATTAGTGAATATGTTTTACAATGGAAGATGATAGGACAGGATTTTAGGGACATTTTCTTCAAGTGTATGTATTAAATGTATGTGTATGAGAGCGATGTAATGTCCATGTGTGCATGCTGAAAGAGACTGGGCTGGTCTGACCCCCCTCCGTTCCTTTCAGGGTGGAGCCTGCTGGAGTCCAATGGTTGACACCAGGTCTGAGGAAGTGTAAGTGTGTTTTTAATGTGATTCATGAAAACAAAGCAGCACACATTCAACCATCTTCAAACTGTCACATCACTTATCATCTCTGATGTCAGGAGTCATCATCAAAGTGTCAATCAATGAACAGATGATGGATCAATAACTGCAGCTGGATTGTGTTTGTTTCTCCATCAGATTCCTGTCAACTCACAATCGACACAAACACAGTGAACACAAAACTCAAACTGTCTGACAACAACAGGAAGGTGACACGTGTGGAGGAGGATCAGTCATATCCTGATCATCCAGACAGATTTGATTACCAGTATCCTCAGCTATTATGTAAAGATGAGCTGACTGGTCGCTGTTACTGGGAGGTCGAATGGAGAGAACTGGTTAATATATCAGTGAGTTACAGAGGAATCGTAAGGAAAGGAGACAGTAATGACTGTTTGTTTGGAAGGAATGATCAATCCTGGAGTCTGAGCTGCTCTCGTGATTATGGATACAGTGTTTATCAGAATAAGGAAAACACATCCATCTCCTCCTCTTCCTCTTCATCCTTCATCTCTAACAGAGTAGCAGTGTATGTGGACTGTCCTGCTGGCACTCTGTCCTTCTACAGAGTCTCCTCTGACACTCTGATCCACCTCCACACCTTCAACGCCACATTCACTGAACCTCTTTATGCTGGATTTGGGTTATGGTTTGGTCAGTCTGGTGCTTCAGTGACTCTGTGCTGAGTTGAGTGTAAAGAGTTTCCTCCTGTTAGAGAAACACTCTGACTGTTGAAGAGATAGTTCAGTCTGTACATGTCTGTCTCTTTCACTCAGAAACACATTTTCAGATTTGTGCATTCAATCAGTTATTGTTTAAACTGTACTAAATGATTCCTTTTAAAGTTCCTCTTCAGTCCTTCAAAGATGGAAGCTTCCAGGATCCACGTGTTGTTTTTCTTTTTCCACTCAAAGCTGCACAGTGAATATCAGTATGCTGTTTTTCTTTTAAGCTCAGGTGAGATGATTCAGTTCATTTTAGTTGCAGTTAGTTTGTTGCAAATGAGACAAACTGTGATATCAGAGAGGAGTCACTGAGCTTACCCAAAAGATCAATTTACTGTTCAGATATTCACACATTAGTCTCCAATGGATACAAATTTTATGAGCAGCCAGGGTTCATTGTGATATGTGTTTTGTTTTTAGAATAATGAAATATAGCTGGACTTTAACTTCCTTGTGGTGGCATTAAGTGATCCCCTAAATGTATTAGTTCCCAACATTATTCATTGTTGAATCACTATTTTGTGTTGGTGGATGCCAGTATTGTAGTTTTATTGTGAACCTGCTCAGTTTCCACAAAAAAAGTCTAATCAGCATATTACAGTGAGACTCAAGTTTGATCAGCAAATAAAATCTTTCTCCAATGTACATTCAAAGAATTTTTAGTAAATGTTTAGTCCTCTTATTGGATGAGCATGACACTGCCTCTGAGAACCTAAAATTATGTTGGTGTGTCTAGACTTTTACATCGCTTTTTTGGTTTTGACCTTATTTAATTCCTTAACGCCTAGTGTATCATATTTGACACATACGGGAGGGGGGGGGGTTGCCAGTTTTGGGGATTTCAACATCATTGTGAATTTTTCAACAGTGTGAATTTTTTCCCCTGTAAAGCCTAAAAAAATTGCAAAATGTATTTTTAAGCAATTAAAAAAACATAAGAAAATATGTCATATGGAAATGTGATTTTTTTTTTTTATTTAAAAAATTAAACAAAAGAAGGTTAAATAAACGCTATTTTTAAAAAAGTAAAATTTTCTGACAATTATTTCATAATTCAGGCTTTAAAGGGTTAATGTAAGTTATCTAAGATAACATAATTTCTTTCCTTTGTTGTAATGAAAACACGTGTTGTGCTTGTAACTCAAATAAAGCCATTCTTCATGTCATTATGTGTGGTAGCACTGATTCAATGTGGTTTATACCTTTGCTAAGACACTCAAGTTCAGATTTCATAGAGCTTTTGAAATTACCAGTCTGACGCCTGATCAGCCTTGATTTATTTTAATCCCAACTAAATTTATTAGTTGGGATTAGGTGGGACTTTACTGATACCACGACGGGGAAATTTTTGCGTTACCTCATCTCAGGTATCAGAGGAAAATACAAAAAATACAAATAAAAAACAAAAAAAAAATACAAAACAAGGAAGATAATACGTAATATACAACAGTAGCATACTCAGTATGTGATTATGGATATGGTTGTGGAGAAATGCAAGACATAAACTATATAGATTAACTTAGCTATTCTACCACTACTATTCCTATGTAAGTAATAGATATCTATAAGTACAGACATGCACATGCACACACACATGTACACACTAAATATACATATGTATACATATACATACATATATACCTGCACACGTCCTTACACATAGAAGGTGCATTATGCATAAAGTGGTGACCGTGGATGTCCACAATTACAAGTGACTTATGACATTGTGATTGAGGAGCTAGTCTAACTGCTGTTGGGATGAATGATCTGTGAAAGCACTCCTTCCTGCAGCAAGGGTGTTTCAGTCTCTGACTAAAGGAGCTGCTCAGCACATTCACAGACTCATGCAGAGGGTGATGTGGTTCTTTATGATGGATATCAGCTTTACTAGCATCCTCCTCTCACCCAAGTCCAAGTAGGCCTGCAGTGTGAGAGCGAAGTGCTCTAATAGGGTGATATGATACTACAAG